ATCCTCGATATCACTTGAGGTGGCTCTGTTCTCCCACTGTGCATGGGTTAGTTCATAGCTCTAATATCAACGAGCATCCCAAGATGGTTTCTGCCTGTCAGTTTCAAGTAGAAAGCAAAGCCCTTGTGCTCAGCCTTCTTCCCAGCCACAGTAATTTGTCACCAGGTGACAAGTGCCACTCCAAAGGAACGCTGTCAGAGGAAACCTCCCATCCCTTGGCTGATGAAAGCCGCTCTCTGCATGGAGTCAGGTCAGTGCCATGAGCTCCAGAATGCAGCAGATGTCAGTACTTCTTGATTCCCAGCTGTTGCTTTTCACTGTAATCACCCAGAAGAAGGACTGAAAGGTCCAGAATGAACGTAGCTCAGCCCATTGGCCCCAGAATCATGTGGCTGGAACACAACGAGATAAAGGAGGAATCCCACCATCAAACTGGACTTGCTAAGGCAGAACAGCTGACAAGGGAGTACCAAAGCTGTCAAATACTTACTTGCCACAACCAGTATATTTCTGCTCTTAATACTAAAAGTGTGTCAGAATTTCCATTATAAAGCACTTATTTTGTGGGTTTATAGCTTTGCCATAAAAATACACCTTGGGTTGAGTCTTGGCATGCAGCCATTTGGCAGCTTCTAACACCATATTAATTCAGAACATCCAGACAACGTTTTTAAACACCAGTATCTGAAACATTGGTGCTTCTCTTTTCTTTTTTCCCCTTCCCAAGTACCTTGTTTTATGCAGGACTTGCAGAAATCAAAGATGGGTGAATACATTTACAACAAGAATCTGAAATGTCTGGAAGTCCTCTTCAGAAGTGAGGGCCGTCTACAGAATTCCCTGGGCAGATGGTAAGGCTGCATAGAAACCTCCAAAAATGAATTGACAAGATCCCTGTCTTGTCCAACAAACTGCTTGCCATCGCTTGGAAATTTTAGTGGAACAATTTTGGCTAGCCTGGAGCTAGCTGCCCAGTACTTAGGAAGATATGAGCTAAAATATCAATTTTGGAATGAAATCAAAGAATTTTAGGTCACCTTTGAAATCTAGCTTAACAAAAAGATTGTGAGCTGATGATATCCGTGAGATAGAAAATTAGGAGGAAAATATACTTGTAACTTGAAATTGAAATAGATCAGCTCAAAAAATAGAACACCACCTACTTTCGAGCTATGGGCTTCATAAGAAGCACATATGGTCTATTCAAATCCCAGCCCCACTGAACGACTGGAAAGATGGACAGAAACTGGGATTCCTTGCAGCCAAATCCTGTAACTCAAGTACTCTTTATAAAATGAATGATGAAAAGGGGCGCTCCTAATCTGATCCCTGGCCTTACTGTACAATTAGGAAAAGTGATAATCTTGGTTTGTAAAACAAGGAAAATTGGCAGCTGTGGAAAAATTAAAGGAAGTAGTTCAGTTAAATATTAGACTTATGAAAAAATTGGCCATAAAAGCTTTCTGAGGCTGGCCAGGACAGAGCCTCAGAAATGTCTAGGGAAGGTTCTTCAATCAGTTCAGGAAATGTGAAGACATGAAGCTGAAAGTGCTGAGCTCCAAAGGAATGAGGATAAAGCTCATAGCTTTTCTCTAGATTTGGTCAGTTTACTTTTTGAATGTATATGAGGATCTGTGAAATGAATGGAATAAAGCACCCTTTCTCAAACTGAAGTTATTGGACTAGGCAGACTGAAAAAGGATAAACTGGTTGCAAGCAGAGACAGTGACTGCTGGGAGACATGACACATCCCAACATTGGTAGAATTGATTTTGAAAATTAGAGCTCTACTTCAGAGCAAGAAATGTGGCTAAAATGATGGATAAGCTAAGGAGGGACTTGGATTTCATTATGCTTAGTAACAGAGTTTTAAATCTGCTGGAAATGCTGCCTTATAAATTAAATCTCCAGAAATTTTCTTTAATTACGTGGCCCAGGTGAAGCGCAGTGTCTGCACATTGCACAGATTTTCCTGGTACAGCAGTTCCTTGTGGCAGGGCAGAGGAAATCTCATTTTAGAGGCCTTTGCAGAAGTGTTAGCTGCTCATGCCCTTGCAAGTCTGAGGAAGAGCTTAATCATCTCCCATGCTAATACACTGAAATGCTGAACTGACTGCAAGTTACATTGGTCCATGCCGGACCCCCCTGCTCTGCTGGGACCGCTGAGACTGGAGTCACTGCTGCCATTAGTGCTGCTGTTAGCAGGGATAAAGGCATGACTGTGCCACGGTCAAGGCTTTGGCATACTTTTTAGATTCCCTGAAAGTTTTTTTCAGCTAAAAATCAGTTCTCTGGATCCAATAAATACACAGCCTGCACACAGTGGTCTACCACAGATTGATGCTGAGGGAAAGCAGCCCATTACCCCGCACCTTGCTGTTCAGCGAAAGCAAAGCAGAAAGAAGTGCTACTGGGCATCAAGGAAATGAATGGGGATGGGATAAGTGAGCTTTCAACAATTTTTGGACCTCACTTGAGTTCTGATTAAAGTCAAATGGTGGCCTGACCAGAGCTTGCAAAGCCAATAACAGCAACAGATGAGGGAGCAGCCTCCAGAGCAGGACTTGGACCTACTGTGGTTTGAAAAGACGTGTTTTGGCTCCACACCTGTGAGCCATAGAAGATGGGGAACAGGTATTGTGCAGCATGCCTGTTCTGCATTATCTCTAGATGATATCTCAGTATGAAAGAAAACACTCAGACAGGACCTGATGTGGTGGCAAATGGTCTGTAATGTGCTGAAAGTCATCGACCTGGAATCAAACCTAAAGGCAAGTGAATCATTGCAGGCAGAAGTAACTCATTATGAGTCCGCAGTCAGCCAGGGAATGGCTTGCACAGACAAAAAGCAAATGGAGGCAGGACAGCCCCAACCAGCTCCCCAGACAGTGGCAGCCAGGTAAAGGCTTGGGGTTTTCTTACGGATTACTGCTACTGCTATTTCAGACAGCTTATTTGTGGCTTTATTAATGCTGTAAAACCACTGCATGCATTTGGCGAGAAGGAAACCATTTCACTGGCCAGTATGGTGTGATTTAACATCTTCAGTCTTTGAAAAAAGCCATGTTCCTGCTTCCGCTCCTGCCTCCCACATTTCAGACACCTTCCAGGCTGGACACAGATGCTGTGATGGGGGCAGCATTGACAGAGCAAATCAAAGGGCTTGAGAGGATGGTGGCTTATTACAACAAAACGTTTATGTTCTCAGGAGAGAAATTAATATTCCACTCAAAGAACATCTGATAGTGGTTAAACCTATAGAACATTTTCACTGCCGTCTCTTTGAAAAAGGTTATACTGCTTGGACAGAGCTTCAGCAGGCAACAGGGATCCAGCAGACACTGCCCTGATGGACGTCTGTCTTCTCTGGGACAGACGTTGGGCTGGGGGCAAAGGTGTCCTCCCCTCCATTGGGGCTGAGCTGTGGGCATTTTAGTAGATAAGCATGGCTTTATTGTTCATAACTTCCTCCTGCTGAATGTTTTGGGTGCTTTGGGCTTAATTTGTTAGTGTTCAATAAGGAATTTTGACATTAAATTCTCCTCTCTGGTTGTAGAGAAGCAAAGAAGATCTGTGCCTTAGTAAAACACAGATACTGACTGACACGTGTCTTTTTATGTCTAACTATCTGTACAATATTGTGATAGTTTCTTGGGTCTCTGTGTGTGAACTAAGTAATAGTCTGATTATTTCCTTGCTACACACATCAAAATTTGAAAGTTTTTTTGTGCTATTGCAAACGTGTTCGGTTTTAAAGTTATTGTATCTAAAGCAGTACTTTCCAAAGCATGTCATGTTTTTCATACTTGGACCATCATAGAGCTGTCACGTTGTGTTTCACTCAGTTCCTTGATGTGCAGCAACAGAGCGTGATAGCAGGGATCTGGAAGGAGAGGCAAATAAGGTCATGGTTTTGAGAGCATTTCTTTTAAAAACAGCTATCTGAAGTGTTGGACATCATAGGGAGCTGAGAACCGAGAGGACAAAAGCAAAAAAGAGTACTTCTGAATAATCTTATTTTAATGTGGTTGTTTCATTGCAAAGCTATTTAAAGCTTTCTTCACACAGCAGGAGGAATCGCATACTGGAAAATCTGTTCTGTAAAGATTTTCATCACTTTGTTAAACCTCAGCTGAATGAGCTTGAATCTAAATCAGTAGCACTGCAGAGTTGCTATGGGTTGTCCAACAACACTGACCAGTATCAGCAGAGGAAACATTTAATGACACGTGAAGCAGTTTTGTTCCACGTGCCAGCGGTTGATATACGCTTTGTATACAGTGTAAGTGCCAGGTCCACTTTAAAACCAAGAGTGGGAAGGACAAGAAAACTGATGGGACATGGGAAGGCTTCCTGCAAAAGCAAGGCTCTGCTGTTATGCAGTAGGCTCGGCTGTTATTTGTGCGGGTGTTGGGGTGTCTGGTCTGGCTGTGCTTGGATGTGCTTGGATTCTGCTTCCAGAAGGCAATCGGTGCTTTAACAATTGACCCGGTGGGGGCTGCAGGGTTTCAGATTTGTGTGCCTCCACCTCCATTCTCATTTCAGCCTTATTGTGCCTGCTTAGCTCTTCAGTGTCATGGCGCTCTTGATGGGCTCAGTGCTGGGCACTGTGGTATGTGCCATGCTGGATGTCAGGGATGGGTGATTTCTTCTGGATCCCAGTAAGCTCCTCTCCTCTTTGCAGAGCAGGGACTTAAACAGCCAGTGCTCTGCTCCAGCAAAGTGCTGAGCTCCCTCGCAGCAAAGCACCTTGCAGAATGAGGCCGAAGACCATGATTGAGGAAGAGGTGTGAGGAGAGCTTTATTAGTATGGCACATATTTAAACCATAGGAAAGCCCACAAATGTTACTCATTTTAAGTGTATTTCACACTTTTTGACTATTTGAAATAACCACATTTGTAAAAACTTCTTTTAATGAATAGAGCTCTTTATGTACAAAAAAGCAAACCTTTTTTTCCCCTTAGGTACAGTACTCTTAAAATACTATTTCTTTTGTAGGTCTGGCTGCTCCCATCGTCTGTTCATTATTGCTTACTGCTACAGAACCCTCAAAAACGGAAAGCAGGCAATTCAGATTATTCTTTATCTTAAAAGATTTTGCTGATCTCTACCACAGATTCATCAGGACTAATGAGACAGATAAGTAAAGGATTTTGTTATTACATGCTAACTCCATAAAGATACTCTGGGGTAAGCGGAGAGGTGGTACAATCTTTCTTGTGAGTGGTGGGAAAGAGCTACCTGGTTACAAATTCTGGCCCCACTGAAGTCAGCAGGGGTTCTGCCATTTGCCTTCAACAAAGCAAAGGGTTTCACCATGTGTTTAACAGGAATATTTTGCTGGAACTGTTGTCAGCATGCTAGTAAATAGACCATTTTAAAATTTGCCTTCTTTTTCACATTCGAATGTTTGTTCACCTCGCCTATGCTTGATGTAATTTGATACAAAAAATTCTCCTCAATTTCATTTTATTTCAGGTAGGTTTTGAATTGGTTCATTTTTTACTTCTTGTGCTTTTAGAGACCCCACGTGGCAATGTCTGGGCTAAAAACACAGTAGGGGAATGTTCACATATTTTGTCTTGCTGGGATTTAAACTGAATTAAAGAAAAACAGAAATGAAAACATTTGCATTTGTTTATGTAATTAGAAAAAAATCACATAAAGCTGGGCCCGAGCTAGCCGAGAATATCTCTGTAATGAACACAAACCTTTACCTTTTTGCAAGCACGCCGTAACTGCAGAGCTGCACATATCATATCTACCGTATCAATGACATTTTGGAGTACGTAAAAAAACCCCACTCTATTTGTCTTAGGAAATATCGAAAACTTTTATAGGGAATTTGGAAAATATTTTTTGGCCAGCATGAAAGGTGAAATCTTGCAGCACAAAGTACAGACATGGGCACAGAGACTGAACAGACGGGCTGCTGTAAAACAACCATTTAATAAGGCATTAAAATGCCATCGACTTGGACACATAAAAAAAAAAAGCTATGAAAACAAATGCCTTTCAAATAATTAGGATCTTATGCTTGAGACCAGTGTTGATCTCTATGCAGAGATTTTCCTGCTGAAATCAGACCAGCCTAAGTCTGATCGTCTAAGGAAGGAATTAGCAGCGTATAAATCGGCTGCTGCTCGAGATTTTTCTGTTTCTGCCATACATAACCATTCATTTAAATGGCCACTTCAGACTTTCTATCTCCTTCTTTCTGTTTCCTAGAGTAGTTTGAAACACATTTGACTTAGTACGCCAGAATAATTTTTTAATTGAATCTTGAATTTTTATCAAGAGTACGTGAAAGGGTTGAATTACCAGCTCCTGCCACACTGCATAAGTGAATCTGAGCCAAATGCAGCCAGAAATAGCAACAGAACCCAGTTCTGTTCTCCAAAACATGGTGTGACTTTGCTTTCACTTGAAGTAAGGAACTTGGTGTTTATAATGCATCAAAATGATATAAATCTGTCCTTCAACTCACCTGTAATGCACGCAGACACAAAACCAAGAAGTAAAGTTGCCCATTCATGTCTGTGTATTTACTCCTGGATCACTGCTGTCATGCTTGTCCTTGCCTGGATACCTCACAGAAGACGCTCTAGTTACACAGAGCGTGTTTAAAACAACAGCATCCGTGACAGTGTAGTTAACATTATTAAAAAAAAAAATAGTAAATGCGATGTTGTCCGAGAGATGAGCATCAAATTCTCAACTTGAAGCTGGAATTTAATAACATTTCACAAAAGAAATGTTTAATGAATATTGCTTTTCACATACAGTAAAGTGACTGTTTTGATCTCCATTTTGCTGTGCATTAACATCGATAACCTTGGATAAATGGACGCACGGTCCTTCTGCTTTTTGTCTCGTTTCCTGTTCTGTCCTTAGCCTAAGGCACAGACTTTTAAACCTCTAATTTTTCTTTCAGATCTGTAATTGCAAGTACTCTTAGATTTTCTGTTTTTAACACAGGATTTCACACAGATGAGAACCCTGTGTGTAACTCCCATAGCTAGGCAGAATAGGAGATCTTTCTCTTGATATTATGATTTCTTCTATTAATCGGTTTTATATGACTTTCTGCTAGCCTTGCTTTTAAAGGTGTGAAAACTTGCACTGCAGAGGTATTTTATAGATTGCAACCATAATTTCTGAATAAAAATCTAAATAACTGGTCTGGTTATAAAGCTTTGGGCACAATTTTTAGGTTCCTGGGAACTGCTGTTAAACCTCTGTTGCCAATTGGCTAGCAGTACATCCCAATTAGTGACCCCTCTATCTAGCAGTAGCTGTATGTGAGTGACTTTTTATTTTTTTTTTAAGTCAGTCGTAAATGATTAGTCCAAAAGAGTAGCATAAAACTTCGAGCGAGTCCCCTGCAGGAGTCGGCTGGAGGAAATTAAAGGATCAACAACACAAGGGAAGCACTGAGGCAGGATTGTTCCAGGCTGCAGCCACAGGCTTTCACATGCACTCAGGAAATTGACTTCATCAAAAGCTGAGGATGCAGGCGTGAGGATGAGGAGGATAATACAGGTGATGATTCTAAATCATGGCTCAATATCACAGCGTTTTCCAAGGGAGAGGTTCCGTCCCGCCCTGAAGAAAGCAGGTTTTCTATATAAAAATAGTCTTCTCCTTATGAATTAATAAAAGTTGGGCACAAATCTGAGCTATAAATCTAATATGACTTAATAAATAATGAAGACTCAGTTTCCCCAAAACAATATCAGTTGGATGTGGGGTTTTTTTTGCACAAGAAAAACATGACTCCTTATAAGCTCCACTGCTCAGTACAGAGCGTTATTGCCCTGTGCACGTTTGTGTTTGTGAGAGCTGTAAAACAAAGGACTCCAGAGTGCTTCAGACTTACAGGCAGGCAAGGAGTTTTCTTTAATGCTTCTAAGCAAATTCTTGCTGCAGAAATTTGGATATTCTGGGTCCATGATGAAGCTGAAACCTTCCTAGTGTAGTTGGAAAGAGTTGCAAGAGGGGAAATGCATAAATCTACATCTGGAGCCAAGTATGCTGGGAAGGCGTAAAGAGATGGGGAAGCAGGAGTGCCAGAACAGGGCTGAGAGCATGAAATTCTGCAGGGAAAAATGGGAGAAAGAAAGAGGAATGTCCCAGGAATGAAGCTCTTATAATGTTCAAATCTTTCCTCGGAAGTAAAAGTGTGGAAGGCTATAATCCAAATAAGGAAATTAGAACAAAAATTAACAATATTCAGCTATTCAGATGTCAAAAGAAACAGCAGAGTTATTGGTGTTAGAGGTTATTGCCAGGAGGGAAAAACTCAGCATGCTTTGGGTAATTAAGCTTCATTGGAGAGCATGGATCCCTTCTCCAGGTAAGAAATGCTTTTATAACACAGCATCTTTTGCTATTGTAATTAAACACCACGGACTATTCTGCATATGAAGTCTTAAACGCTTTAGTCCTTTATCATGGGATTTTACTGGCCAGGCATGTGTGTTCTTATGGCAAAAAGCATTGGCTGCTATAAAAAAAGAAACCCAAACATTTCTTTTTATGACTTGACTTGCTGTATTTTTATATATATTGAGCCAAATCCATCCCTTGTGGAGCTGAGTTGAAGCCAATAAGGATAGATTTGGCCCATGTCTATATGAGAAAGGTGGTGACAATTAAAATATATTGTTTAATAATGAGAGCTATGGTAGTGAAGTGTCTTTGTGTCTATGAAATTATACACCACGACACCACACTGCCAGTAGAGAGTGGGGCTAGCAAAACAAGTAAGAGCAGTTTCTGATGGAAAGGCAAAAGCGCTCTAACTTTTATTATTATGATTAAATATCACAAAGGCAAGACTAATTTAGGTAACATCTCCAGAAGTCTCATTTATAGTGTAGTATTTTGCCACAGTGTATTTTAAAATATTTCTTGCATGTCATTATATGTAGCTAGCAAGGGTAGTATGACTGGCTGCCATTAGCAGTAAGTAAAAGAACGGTTCTTATTTCATTTATATTTTAGTGATTTTCAGTAATGCTGCAAAAAGGAATGCATCCTATGAAATGAAATGTGCAGACAGCCATTATTATCACTTTATATTGGTAGTTCCCAGCGGTTCCTCTGTGTGAGGCGTTGCACCAGCACATGAAATCCACTGCTGATACCCTGAAGATCTTCAGATCTTGCCTATTTAGGCAGTGAGATATGCAAAGCTTATTGCACAGACAACCAGGTCATCTGTACAAAACCAGAACAAATGAGTTTTGTTTGGCTCCTTGACATGGTGGGTTGCAGGAAGCAAATCTTCTCTTGTATCCCTGTTGGTAAGTTATAACAACTTTTATACGCCAAAGCCCTACTCAACTGCCTACTGACTTGTATCCCTTTACTGAAGATATTTGGGTAATGGATACTCACAGCCAGTAATCACAGACTTAAACCCAAGCTCTTCAAGGGGGTTGCCAGAAAGCTGGGCTCAACCATGCAGCTCTGTAAAGAAGCTGAGCACTTAGAGAACACTGGCCAGCAGCAATGGAGCCCAGGAGCAATGGCCGAAGGCAATCAATCCATTGCCCTGCTGAGCTAATGGGCTCCAGCTGAAAAGGTACCTCTTATATGAAAATAATGGGACTTGGGAAGCCTCTCACCCTCAAAAACAGAGGAAAAGAAAATGCGCAGCAGAAGTTCTTTTTTGCTGTAATTATTACTCATTCTGAATCTCTATCATAGAAATCTGGCCTTTGGCACTGGATTAAGATAATATTTTATTAGAAGAAAGCATGATTCATCAAATTGATGCGTTGCAGTATCTGTGGAAAGGAAAACTGGGAAGGACACAAAAGAAGCTGGGCTGTGGAAAACCACTGCCAAACAGAGAGTCTCAGACTGCACTAAGAAACAACAAAAAAGAAAATATTTCCAAAGAAACATCTGAGCACAGCATTACAGCCAAGTGAAGAATTATTACTGCATTAGGCTTTCAGAGTGGGGCATGCAGTGTATGTGGTAGGAGAATACCCTGTCATTTTGAAATTAAAGAAAAGTGCATGTGTTCCACATCAAAACTCAGTTCCTCAGAAGGCTTGTTTGCATGCTGCCAGTTGCTTCTGCTCTTTGTCAAGAAGAATATTTTTATTTTCTAGTTACCATTTTCTCCCTCTCTCTCTCCTCCTCATCATTTTCAAGTTCACCATTTCCTTGTGTTTATTTCCTTGCTGTTGACTTCCTGCTTCCATTCTTTTCTGTCTGGAGTATGAATATTGATTTTCAGGCGATCTGATTAAGTGCTTTGCAGAGGTGAGTAAAGATTATTTTCATTTTGTGCGTGACAGACACAAAGCAAAAATTAAGTAGTTTACTAATGGCTGTAAGCTGAATCATTGCTGAGTATATTAGGACTGGAAATCTTGAACTTCACTGGAATTCTTAGACAACCATTTAAAGCTGTTTTTGAAATCTTTTGAGTTAATTGTGCAGCTTGCAGGACCAGCTCTTCCTTGTGCACCATCTTGGGAACAGGAAACACAGCATGCACCACACGTTCCTCCATCGGTGCCATCCTGTGGCCAACCCTGCTTCTTCCCACCTGTGTCACACTGGGGCAAATGGTCAGACGATCCACAGGGGCGCTCACTTGCCTCTCTCTATATGTGCAGTCTTTGTTGGAGGCTGAGATTTGCCCTTTTGCTTTTCCATGCACATCCATGCAGTCTGCTTGCATTAACACCTCCCACCTTCGAAGTGCTTAGGCAACATTTACACAGAGTTAAACCCCATCTCTCCTTGCATGTTCCGAATGAAGAAATGTAGAAATACTAAGGGACATCCATTCAAAAGTCTGTGTGACAGCCATGTGCTCACTTCTAGCACTAAGTGTAAATGCAGTCTTTTTCTGTGACGCTCGACAGAAATCCCAGTGGAAGTTTTTCCTGCCTCTAACCTGTCTACTTTCTTTCATAATGATAAATGATGGGAAAGCCTGAGGGAGGGGGGAAACTATCTAAGCATTCAACTGATCGTGTCTGTAGAAGGATGGGAAGGGAGAATGTTGATTTATTTAGAACAGAACTTTAATATGGCTAAAATCTTTGATATTTTTCTCATTTTGATCATTTTTTGCATTCTTGTAAGTAAGCTTAAGGCTAAATCATTACCCAAAGATGTCTCATCGGATAAGACAATGTGGTTACTTTTATTCTTCACTTTAAATTTAATTGATTACCTTTCCCACTTCCAGTTTGTCCTGCACACAGTCGCTTGGTAGCAGTCACCTTTGCTTTCAGTCAAGGTATCCATTGCGTGCATGCTGACTGTTTCCCATTACCTCTGCAGCACAAAGCAAGTTCATCACCTTTCCAGGATGTCTTGTGATTGATTCCTCATGTCTGGGGAAATATGCTCTAAAGTTTCAGGCTAAAATGAGTGCTTGGATTTAGTGTGGATAATCAGTGGTTTAAGACTTATTCTTCTTATGAACTATTCATCTATTTATGAGATACACAACTAATATTAAATATAATATAACATGTTAAATTTAAAATGTTATTATTCCCTCAGTAGCTGCTCAGACGCACTGGGCATGACTAAACCATGATTTGCGGAGTGTGTCTGCGTCATCCATCAAGCACAACTACTCTCTGCCTCAGACCTAACCTGTGCGCAGCGAAGCCAAGGCTGAAAGCCTTGAAAAGAAGATCAGAGGCCTGGTCTTGCCATGCTGAAATCTATAAAAGTTTTCCTACTGACTTCAACAGAAACAGGACTAAGCCTTATGATTCTGGCAGGAAAATCTGAGAATATTCCTTTACAGCTCTCTACTGAATGTTGAACTCCAGAATACATTGTTGTCAGCCTTATGTAAGACAGAGACTGTTAAGGAAAGACAGTAGTTTTGCACATACTGTTCTCTGCACATGTTGTTCTTCAGTAAATATTTATCAAAGGATGCGTCCGTTCCTGCTGGCAGCGTCCGAGGCATTGGACAAATTTGGCCTGATTTCCTGCTGTCAGTGCAAACCTCCCAACTAGAAGCTGAATTTATCAAGTTTCGTCTTTCAAAACTGTTAAAATCATTCTTATCCAAGTAGATAGTGCTGACAAAAATGGTCATTCGATGAAATACTCTTTAAGAAAAGGCACGTCCTCCAGCTTGTAAGTACAGCCCCACTGAAAATATTCATCAAAACTGTAACAAAGCACGGCTAAAGGCCAAAAATTTGTATTTGCTGAAAACTGAGGAAAACGGCAACAGAAAGAAAACCAGATGAAAGTTTGTTGGCACTTGCAGGATACTTGTTCAGGCCTCTTACCCTCTACTATTTGTCTGTGGAACTAGACTCTTCTGACCTGTTCTAGCTATTCCTCACATGTTCCTTTCAGTGTGTTTTACTTTTCTTGTGCTTGAACAAGTTTATAATTAGCATAAAATAAGCCTGATTTTAATTGAGTTAGCATTATCAGCACTTTGCACTAATTTATATACCCTTTCATTTCCTCTTTTAAGCTCTTTTTAGGTCAGACTTAGGCTTGGGGCTGTGCTTTGGTGCACACTGTGCAAAGGATGTGGTGGCTGAACAGAAAGGGCTTGGATCCCAAAGCCTCAGGGCTTACTACCACCAGATGCCTGAACTGAAATCTCTCTTTTGGAGTGCAGTTCTTCTGGAAGAGAACCTGAGGAGCTGCAGCTGCGCCTTCTCTACCTATGCCTGGTACTTACAGCACCCCGTGGCTAAAGGGACCTGTGGTCACCTCCTCAACTCCTGACGGACACAGCCTGCAGTGTGCCATGGGCTGGGAGAGTTAATGGTTTGGAGGAGACTGTTCCACCCGCATGGGAATAATTAGCATTGCAAGGACTGTGAGGCCCCAGGCCACTGCCCAGGTCATGCAGATGGAAAGAAGCAATGTGTCCAAGCCCCATGCTGGCTGCTAATGGCATACCTCAGGGATACTGGGACTCCTGGGAGCATTTCTCTAAACTTTGTGCTGTGAAGAACAGCTGGCAGTGGCAGCGGTCAGGGAGTGGCTGCTACCCAGCCCTGCTGGCACTGAGGAGGTGGCTTTGTGCGTGCCCCTAGGGAGGCTGCATCTATATGAAGATCTGGAGGTTTATGCTATCTTTTTATTATTGAAGGCTTGTTACTTCAAACCCACCATGACTGCTGCGGCTCAGTCCCAGAAACTGTCAGTCAGGGATGCTTTCTGGTTGCCATTACAGCAGGGGCTCACTGGCAGACAGGTGCCTGCCCTCACTAGGCCTCATTCGGCCTCGCTAGGCTTGCTTGGCCTTACTCGACATCACTAGGCCACACTAGGCCACACTAGGCCACACTAGGCCACACTAGGCCTCACTAGGCTGCATCACTGCCCAGACAGCTCTCAACTGGGCCATGAAGCCCAAACCCAAGTTTAATTTTAAACTTCACCTCAATTTAAACACAACACAGGCTGCTCTGTACCACCCAGAGCTGGCACACGGCGTGGATCTGCCACGACACTGCTGCCTGAAGGCTTTTCCTTAGGGGGGGCTCTGTGATGGGCACCACCTGGGCAGCAGTTTCACACATGACATTGTTTTTGTTTTGAATTCGTGTCGGAAAAGGCTTTTTTGCTTTTGTTGTACCGCTCCCAACATTTTCTGCTCTTTCATTTTTAATACTGAACCTGTACTTTGTAGAAAGGAAATAGGTCAAAACTTTATTCTCCCCAGCAGCAAGTTGTTGGCTCATGACTTCTGTTACAACCAACTATCAAAGCAATGAAAGCCCTCGCTTCACATTGAATTTGGGCTGCCTCTTGTCACAGGCAAGTGCGTGGCACCTCCTTGGAGCAGAACCTTAAATTAAAATATTGTAAATTTTTTGCTGCTCCAGCAGTACTGCAGAAATGCAAGTGGCCAAGGGGGGAGGAGGTTTTTTCCTCCTGCTGGAATTTTTCACTATAACCATCCTCAGGGGAGTTCTCATCTTCAAAAGAAACATTCCTTCTATACAAGCTGCAAAAAGAATTATTTAATGACATCATAAATTAATACAGAGAGGCACAAATTTTCCAAAATGTGGAGAGAGAGAAAAAAAAAAATTATCGTTTGCCAAAAACACCCAAGCTCTTCCAGACTAAGGCCTCTCCTGAGCCTGGGAGCTGCCAACGATACCAAACTGAACGGTGGGGTTTCTGGCATGACTCAAGTTTAGCTTGTTTAAATTTTGGCAAATACTCGTATTACTCATATACTCAGCAAACTGATACAAATATTTGTTCTATTTAGAGTGAAGTCCAAACTCACTGCTGGCACCAGTGCTGCTGGACTCAGTGGAACTAATCTTGCTCATGCCAGTATGAAATTTGGACATCTACCTTAAAGAAAAACAGCCTTTGAGGTACAGATTAGAATACATCAATGGAAAACAGAACTCGTGTGTAGCCAAGTTTTCCTCACTTGCTAATTTTTGCTTTAATCTGATTTGAACTGGACCACGTTTTTCTGGACTTGGGCTGCTACTCGCTGTTATGATGCAGCCACCAGGTCAGAGCTGGAGCTGGAAAAGCCTTCATGCACGTGAAGTTCTCTGCATTCTTGAGAAGTGAAATCTGTAGTAAGTAGAGCCTGGGCACAGTGAGCATATTTGATTGATTGTAGTGCTGTATAGGTTGCTTCTTTTTAATGATGCCTTCAGTTTACTGTTTCTGGTTTGTAAAGCAAATAGACAAACAACCAACCAGATGGGAAATGCAGACCTGCCTTGGGGCTTGGGTTCCGCATCTGGTCGCACCTGCGCTTTGCCCATGAGCTCTCTCTGGGTTCGGATTCAAAAAACAGGTTAGGCATTGTGCAATGAGAAGAGCAAGACGAAAACCACCACCCTTCCATTCCTTAATGCAGCCAACGCATGCCCCAGGGGTGTGCTGGCTGAGGATCTGTGCTCAGTTCAGCTGTGGTTTGTAAGCAGCATGCTGTTTAATGCTATCTAAATGTTTTTATAAAGGTCAAGTAGGAGTGGGATCCTCCTAACTTAACTTTAGCCATTTAGAAATGAGAAATCTAGTCTGCCTGAGCTAGATTCCTCTGCGAGTGGAAAATATCAGCACTGCAGAATGATTCATCCCATTTTAATCTGCCCAGTCTCTCTCCATTGACTATAAAAGGGGCCTGGATGACCAGATTAGCATATACCCAAATTTTAGACACATATGTGCTCACTCAGCATTTTACAATCAGCCCTGCAGTGGCCATACCAGGTACTATTTTCACAGCTCACGGTGTGCCACAGGGCTGCACGCAGTGCCTGCACAGCTCCCGTGGCTCCTGGAGCAATGAATCTTGGCTGTGAGCATTGCTGCATGTGTCCTCAGCCTCGGTCTTAAAACCTGGATTGCTTACAGGTTCAGGGCTCATCTGTACTGCCTTGACAGAAAGCTGCTGGGCCAATTCTTGTAGGAGCTGCTTCCAAAACAGCCTTAGATGCATAAATATTGTATTGAGTGACATAAAGTTTAAAAAAAAAAAGTTAAAAAAAGAAGCAGTGACTACTCCTTGAAAAGGGCATTATTATTATTGGCCATAGTTGTGAAACAGGTAAAATATCCCAAAAAGAGTCAAGTGCACATCTGGATAAAGTGTGGGATTGGTGTAATTGGACAGAAGAAGGGAGAAGACAGAGCAAGCATCCAGTAATTCACCACGGAACAGCTTTATGCTTGTTATTGAAATGCAGCCAGAGACAGTTAATAGTAGTAAAATGACTTTATGTTCTGATATGTAAAATAAAATGTCCATGCTATGTAACAAACAGTTGAAAATTCCACACCACCTGTATCTATCGTGGTTTCTAATAAAATTTTATCTGTAGTATATATGGTTTTTATCTAACCAATCCTTAGTTTTTACATCGAAAGTGTGTAATTAAAAAAAAAAAATCTTAAATAGATGTCTTTCAAAAAAAAAAAAAAAAAACCAAACCTTGCAACATTCATTTTTATTAAGTATTTCATTTGTAAAAAGCAAAGCTGAATTGGACACGTGGCCTGCATTTGTGATATATATATATATATTTTTATATATATATAATATATATATATGTATATAAATAGCTATTCAGCATGCAAAAATTGTAGTGATTTTGAAAATCTGATTACAAAATGCACACCAGTCACACACAGTCTGCTGCATGTGTGTAGGTTGTCCAGGTGGGAGCGTGCCCTCCATGGTGGCCCCAGGGCTGCCCCGCTGCGAGCAGCTGCCCTCGATCATCAGCCTCTCTTCGTTGGAATGGATTCATCCAAATGCAGAAGTGCCTCCTGACTTCTAAGTGTGTATTTCAGCCTTTTGCCTTCGCCCAGTTGGGAAGCAAGGGGTGGAAGCACAAACCCAACCCTCTGATCACAGCTGAAGCTTCAGTACTGCGCTCTTTAGTGGGAAAAGCTCCCAGCGCCACCGCTCAGCAGCACGGAGGAGGGCACAGTCCCTGCTGCAGGGCTTTTCAGGTGAAATCAGAGAGAGATTTGTTCAGTAAGGAGCACAGCTTCCTCCCACATGAGTCGGCTCAGCGATTCTCAGTGCCTCCTGGGGGCACTCTGTAAGCAAAGTCAGCACGGACTGAGTCAGCTCAAGATACTTCCACGGTAAGCAGTGGTAGCAACCTATACATTGGTCATGGATTTTTACCTGCTTTACAAATAGTTGTACACTGTAAAGCCTGACAGGCAATGGGAACTCCTTCTGCTCCCACCCCACAATTAAAGACCGCTTCTCCATGCCTTCTTTATGCCGAAAACAATTCTTCCCAAGCTAGCTGCAAAAAAAAAAAAAAAAGAAAAAAAAAAAGACATAGCACAAAAAGCGCGTTTCAGCTGAATGCAAAAGAAATGAAGGACCAGCAAATACAGAAACCCTTTCTGGAAAGTATTAGCGACTTTTAAGCTTAAATTTCATAAATATATTGCAATAAGCAAGTGTGATTTGATCAACAGAGTCTGAAGACACTGGGTATGTTCCTAATGCTGCAATTAATTTGCTGTTTGGCCCGGGGCGTAACGCTTCACTTCTCAGTCTCCCACAGCCATGATCGATGGGGGAGGAAGGGACATTTGAGCACCGGTGCTTCTCCTCTCTGCGCTGTGCTGGGAAGGTCTGGACTGGCACCTCACCACTGGCATCAGAGGAAAGGAAATTCCTGCAGGTGGACAGAGCCTAACACGTGCTGCTACAGCAGTCCTGGAGCTACACAGCCCAACGGATCGCTTCTTCTTTGGTTTGGGGGGTTCTGTGACTTTGCCAACCAAGTACCATACAAATGAAGCTCGTGTTTTTCCCAAAAAGCCAAAATTTGCTCATGGACGTTTACTGATACAGGCAAAAGTGAATGACAGACGACTTCACTCGTTAGTCCAGAAGATGGTTTCTATCAGATCGGTAATGAAGACGTGAGAATTAATTCATTTGGAAGTGAGTCAGAGGCTGATGGATCCAGGAGTCGGAATTCTCAGTGTGCCCGAGATGGGCTCTCCCCGCACGCACGCGCCCCTGGGAAATGCATGCTCATCTCACCCAAGTGCAAGTTACCCACAGGTATAACGCTGCCTTAGCACCGTCCCGGAGCAGTAACGCAAGCTGCGGCACCGCTGGGCCCGCGGAGTCACCCGTCCGTCCAGTTCTCCACCGTCCCCATTCCTGAATGGTACTGCAGCGAGGACTCCCGCGACAAGGAGAAGCTTTGGGAGTAGAGGAACTCATTGGCAGCGTTGAGGTGTGGGGAAGGCGGCTTCCTCTCACACACGGACGGGTGCACTCTTTCCCTTGGGAAAGACGATGGGGGGACGCGCTCCCGAACCTGAGACTGGGCCAGCTGGTTGTAGACACTGAAGTGGCTGTTCCCCGGGGGCTGTGAGCCCTGCCCCGCGATGGACGGGAGCCGTGGCATCATGGTGGTGGCTGTGAAATGGGCTGGAAAGGGCTGGTAGGGCACAGTTTCCATTGTCTGAACACTGTAGCTGGTATAAGGTGCGACTGAAGTCCACATATTGCAGCTCAGCGGGGGAGGCGGAGGCGGCAAGTCATCCACTGCCGGCACGCCTGCGATCTCAGCCCCTGACCCAGAGTACATGCAGGCTTCCCGTGGGGCCACCTCGCTGCAGTAGGACGGGCTCAGCATCTGCTGCTCGTAGGGTGGTGGGGAGCGGAAGTAGTGATCATCACCCACTGACGAGGAGGCCTCCAGGTAGGAACGCTTGCAGGGCAGGTCCAGGTGCCGCGCGCTTTCTGCGGGAAAAGAAAAAGAGCTCAGGGATGGGACTTCAGAACGCAGGATTGTTCCGCTACACCACCAGTGCTCTTTTTCAGACCATTTCAGACAACGTGCAATACCAACAAGGTGTCGTGTTGCAAAATACTGGAGTAATTCCATCATCCTCCCAAGCACGCTGATGACATTTATCAGGGTAAGTAAGTGACTATTCTCACATCAGGGATTACTTCACCTCCATCCAGATAACAGAGGTCCGTGGCACTCCTGCAGCACTACTCCTGACAAACTCAAGAAGTCTCTGAAAGGGTCTTATCACAGCCCTCCTTCCTGTCAGTACCAAAATCACTGTACATTTCCCAGATATTCACGTCAAAAGCTGCAGAAATATCTCAAGATAAAGGAGACCTTTCCCAGCTGCCCATTCTTCCTCTCAGCCTCACATGCGGGAGCTCGTTAGCTGGTTAGAATGCTGCATTTATGAACTCATCTGCAAATTAAACATCTGCTAGAAGAACACATTTGCTTCACAGTCCTTATTTCTGGTGGTATTGAATTCCTCATTTGCCCATGATCAGAGGATTCTCACAGCTTAAATAAATTAGCAGCCAATGAGACATGCAAATAGAAGGATTTGGCTGCGTGAATAATTTTCCTTCTAACTTGAAACATGCCATGATCTCATCTGATCTGGACTAAAAGGAAGACAACGCAGCTACAGCTCGCTTCAAGTTAGGACACGCTGATAAGGAGAAGGATGCGTGGCCTCCACTGCCCCACTGCTTGCACTGGGATAACTACAAAGGCTCCTCCTGCAAAGCGCTCGTTCAGGGCAACTTCCTTAATGCTAATTGGCCACGTCAGGACATTTCAGGATAGATAAGGCCTCCTCCCTGCAAATATTATTAACTCGGATGACTTATCAAGTGATAATTTTTCAGTGTGGCTTCATTCCATTTAGATTATGTGTACTGATTGTTGGTTTTGTTTTGCTTTTTTTTTTAGCTCAGAGCCTCAATTTGCCCTCTATGGGACAAAACCACTAACAACTGCCCAAAGATCCAGCTTGTGAACCCTGACCCTCCAAAACACTTTGATCACTTTGAAGATTAAGGTCTAAGAGACACATCCAAAACAAACTGGGATTATGGGTAAACTTTCAGTGCTCTTAGGCCTATTTGCTGCGATATTTTTCAGTGTAAACTCGAGTTACCTCTTCTCTTCAGGCAGTGATAGAAGAGCCCTGAATCTCTCTGTGCTGTGAAGGTGTTGAGTGACAGATCTTGAGTATCTGAGGCTGCGAACTGCATGTGAGCACCGTTCTCGTACTGGTAGTGTTGGAGGGTCTGGTGACTGCCATGGAGTGGGTTAACGTCCGGCTTGGTGGAGAGCTGGCCATGGCTGGACACCAACCTCTGCCTCATGATGCTTTTGGAAATCACTGGGTATTCTTTGCTGAAGAAGGCGAGAAAAATATTACCGGTTAGACAGCATCAGCATGACCAGGAGGATGAAATATGAGTTTGGCTGCCCCAGCACATCCCCATCCAACGGCTCCATGCCTTTGCCAAGCACGATGAGCTAACCTTCACCATGCTCCGGGCGTGGGCAAGCATTGCAACAGCACACGAAATGCATCACTTGGCTACAGGAAGAGCTTGTCAGAGGCAGGGAGGGCATGAAATGCCCTCAAATACAAGAAAATTGGATGCCCCACAGCATTCAACAGTTTTCTTCAAAGAGGTGCAGCACGTTGACAGTAAGACAAGGGCAAAGGGGCTGAGCAATGCATGCCAGACACCGCACAGCTATGTGCAGCAGCCAAATTCAGCCTGCTGACCCAGAGCCCTCCCATCCGTCCTCCAACCATACCTTTGGAGCCGTGCCACGCGCAGGTCGCTGTCGTCGCTTCCCCTGAATCCCTTCGCAAAGGGGTTGTTCTCAATTTTCAGCTGAGTTATCTTTAAGAGAAGGAAAGCAAGCAGAAATCATGTGAAAACAGATGGGATGATGGGCGGAGGGGCTGAGTCCTCTGGTACCCGGTGGGTTCCTTCAAAAGAAGACGTTGCCACCACCTGCACTGCGCTCAGCCACCAGCCCCTGCCCACGCACAGCAGTGACAGTGGGAGTATTAAGTTTATGGAGCACTTTGGGGACCTCAGGGATGAAAGGCACCATTGACCTCGATATTTTAAGGAGGTATTAAATAAGCGCTTTTGAGCCTTTTTGGTTAACCACGTTTGGGCAATTGGTCATTTTACACCAATGTCTACAACTTTTCAAACAGGATTCACTTTGGTGCCTAAATACGTACCTTTTTTTCCCCTGTCTTACCATACCACACTCATCCAGGCTGCCACTCTGAGCCTTTTAACTGCTTGCTAATTGCAAAATCTTGCAAGGACTGTGTGCCTCAAAGGACACACAGCCGTCTGTTCAGGAGGAAGAGGCACCCAGGGATCACCGCAAATAGGACCGCAACCCAGTGCATAGAAAAGATGTGGAGAAACCCAACCCTGCAGTCAGTGCATCACTGTGCCACACACCCAACGCACAGCCCCAGGCCCTTGTGTTTTGTGTTCCCCCTCCCCAGCAAAACACAAACACCTGGAGCCCCCTCCTACCTTCACCTCCTAACCACAGCGCAGGCTCCTAGCTCGGTTTTATGGTTGCATTCCTTGTGTGCCTTGCTAAACACACATGCTATAATTACTTTTTGCTGTAGATTTATGAGCAAGCTTTTCCCAGCTGTTATTGGATTTGCTCACTGTTTTGAATGACATCTTAGAGTTTATTATTATCCAATTCATTAGTTCCTGGGCGATCAGGCCTTGCCAGGCTGTTGGTGCCCAGCGCTTGTTGTGCTTCCCCTTAGCTGCATCCTCTGGCTCATCAGCCATGCTTCGAGGTTAATGGGCTGCAATGGAAACTCAGCTTTTCGAGCAGTTCTGTGCCCTCCCCAAGCAAAGCTATAGGAGCACACAGCCCAAAATGAGCCCCTTTGGATCCCAAAGTGCCATACCTTGTGGTTCTGGTAGGAGGTCACCGAGATAAAGGACGTCTCTGGAAACACGTGGGTGCAGAATGCCGTGTTCTTCGAGCCAAAAGCGTTGTTCTCATCTGCCTTCACAATGTGCAGCCGTGGCTGGTATTTGTGCATTGAATTGAGGATAATCTGGAAAACAATTGGTGCTAAAGTGAACAATCCGATTTTGTAAAAAATGGCAAGTCTTGGCCACTTGACAGCTTGGTCCCACTAGCGCTACGCTTCAGCTTTGCTTTCAGACTGTAGGGGAAAACAACATTGTATAACATGTACAACCCACAGCAGAGCGGGTCTCTGCTGCTCTGGCAAGCAATGCTGCACTGAACTTGGAGCTTTTCTGCTGAACGCTCCTTTTCTTATTGCTATTGGACAGAGTCAGCCTGGGTGGAAACAAAGCCGTAAATTTTTTTCTCAGCTCACATTGAAGCTGCAAAATACATATAATTCGCCAGCAGACTGGTCCATAAAGCTTCCCCATAAAATACTTTACAGAGCTGAAAAACAGAAAAAGCAAAAATATATATATATATCACAGAAACCACGGAGGGGGAAAAAAAAAAAAGAAGTCTGTGTTTTTCTTTCATCGGCCGCTAAGAGAAAGCTTCAACCAGAAGGTTTTCTGCAGGTCGTGCAGCAGATCCCACGGGTAACCCTGCAGGTGAGACGTGGCTGGAGAATGGTGAGGAGGGGCTGTGGGATGCAGTGGGCATTCAGCCCCCCCAGTGCACGCAGGGCACAGCGCTGGGCTCTGCCAAGGCACGCAGGGGCTGGTGCCTCATTGTTCTGCCACAAGAATGGCTGTGCCCACATGTGACAAAGTAGTTTAAAGAAATGGATTTTCTTCTAAGGAGTGGGATGGGTTTTAAGAAAAGCCTCTATTCCTCTCTCTGGACAAAGAAAAAATTATTTGCTTCTGGTTTCCTCAACACAGCACTTTTCAGCCTCTTCCCACTCCCAAACCATCTTCCAGCTGTTCCTGGGGCTGGATTGTCCCCAGCATGGCCAACACCCTGAGCAGGACACATTCAGCCCCATGGAGATATGGAATCAACAGGGAATGCTGCACAGGTTGAGTCTGCAGGAGGTGGTGGTGAGATGGGAGAAGGGATGGGCGTGCGGGCAGGTGGATTGGACATGTGGATGGATGGATGAATAGAAGGATGGATGGATGGGCAGACAAATGTGTGGGTGGGTAAATGGACAAACGGATGGATGGTCAGACAGATGGAAAAACAGATGGACTGATGCACAGAAAGGACAGAAGGATGCATGGACAGACAAAGCCAGTTTGCATTAGTTCACACAAAGTGTGGATTTAGCCCATTTTAAATGAAAAATAATGAGAAGTTTGCCTCAAGATCAGCTGGTCATGCACAGTGCCACAGTGCTGCACTGCAGCTGGACAGGAGGCACTGCTCAGGGCTCGTGCTCCCCACGCCCCTCCATCCGGCCACACGGATCTGCCCACAGTAGCAGGCTGCATTATATATACCACTTAAACACAATTTTTATTGTTGACATTTTCCAGACAACCCTCCTTGCTCCCCAAGAGAGAGAATGAGGAATTTTTGGCATTTTATCAGCTTTGCATCACGTCTCCGAAGCACTTTGTGGCTGCTGATACGCAGGCTGTAGAGCTGAGAGGGTCGGCTCAGGTTTTGGGTTGCAGCTTTTGCTGCGCTTTCATGTGGCGGCCTCTCGTAAAACAGCCGAGATGAGCAACGCCAGAAGGCTGAGGCTCATAAGAAAGGGCACGTCAATTTTCAATAATTAAGGGTTGATAAATATGGGTTGTCTGGAGCAGAAGCTGAAGGGGGCTGAGCTTTGCTCACCTCCTGTCCCCAGCTGCCCGGGTCTGGCAAGGCAACGTGTGGCTCCAAATCAGAACAAGTGAATGGCATTTAACCTCAGATTTCCAGCGGGTGGATGAGCAGCCTGTTTCCTACCTCCTCTCCAAAACAGTACCCTCGAGGGCATAAAGATTCCTTTAAAAACCCTTTTCTTGGCCTGAGCCTTTTCCAGCTCCAACACAAACTGGAAGAAGCCTTTGGAAGGATTGTTGACAGATGCACATGGTTACATCCATGGCTACAAATCCTCCCAGAGGTTCACTTTGAGCTGCTTGATATCTATGGGGGGGGAAAACACCAAAACAGCTTAATCTAACCGACTGCAATGTGCTTTTGCCCCTTGCCCCAGGGTGAAATACACAGCACTTTGTCCCAGGTGCAGGAAGCAAGCATTGAATTGACCTGCCCACTGCCTGTATTCCCACCAACAACTTTCTGGAAAGCAAGAAGCACACACAGACACACACACACAGACACACACACACACACAGACACACACACACACAGACACACACACACAGACACACACACACAGACACACACACACACACACACA